TGGGAGTTGGGGATTAGCAACATATGGAGGACCAAAGGTATTGATATTCCTGACTTAATGCAAACTTGTAAATGGTTGCCTTAGTTAACTTCATTAACTGGCCTTTATAAAAGCACACTATTTGTTTTATTTTTTTCCAAACCAGTGGAATTTTGAAAATAAATTACGTAAGGGGGTTCAGAACGTTGCTGTTCTGTCTATCAGCAAACAGTTCTGTTTTCCCAAAACAGCTGGGGTGGGACAAGAAGCCAGCAAAAGAAATGTCCAGTTTGAAAATGGTCAGATCTGGCCAGAGGCTCCAGAGGAAAAAAAAATCCAGAAAAATTTCTCCCAGTGCATCCCTATGGGAAAGGACAGAGCTACTATTAAGGCATTGGGAAGATTTACAGAATCAATGCTCTGCAGCCTTTCTCTTCTTTGCTAAAAAACGAATCTATTCAATTCTGACAATATTCTTAACATTCTTATATGACTCTGTTCTAATTAACTTGCACAAGCATCATCCTGTGTGATGAGCTATGTTTCAGTCCCTGATACTATCTAAATCATATATAGAAAAATCATGTGACAGCAGTCCCCACCCCAATTTGTTTTCTGGTTAACCAGTGGGAAATTTCATTCATTCAAAGGTAGCCAGAAAGATGTTACTTTTGCTGTTGGCAATTAAGCAATATATGAGTAATGGAAGAGCTCAGCGCACAGATTTCTGCTTGACCATAATGAGACGTTTGTGATTTATAATGTAAGCTGTTTAGCTGCCTGAATAAGCAGATCTAAGATACTGTACTGTTGTTACAAATGCCAGCCAGTTCATATGAATGTGGAATTTGATGCACTCTACATTTGTAGAAATACATCTCCTTTTTCCCCAAGAGGAAAACAATCACCTACATGCTGGCTTTTTCATGACAGCGGCCTCATGCTGCAGTTATCTGTCTACATCTCTCTCTTTCCATGTCTCTTGCAGTGCCACTTCCAGCTGAATATAGAAAACAAGACTTTGAGTGACTTAGGCCCATATACATTATGCAAGTGGAGCCTTTTTCTTTTTGGGCTTTTAAAAAAGAACTCGTAGAATCTGGAGCAGAACCTCAGGCTCCCATTGGTGGTGCAGGTGTGTAAACGTGGAAATAGAATGGACTTTATAACACAAGTTATACCATAAGGAGTTAGTATGGACTTTTTAACACAAGTGTCTACTACATCACTGGATCTCTTTCCAAAACAGGAAGTGATAATCTGCCATGCTGTGTTTTGTTCCTTGTGTTCTGAGCATGCTGTCCACTCATGCAAGGCAAAACCCAGGCGGTGATCCACAAACTGTGAGGAAAAGCAGAAAGCTGTGGCCTTTCCCTGCTTCAGTCTAATGATTTGTACAATAGCAGCACTCCATTAGGTGGGTAAACCATAGCTGAAAGGCACTGCAATTCTCTGCCAAGCAGACGTGGCTTTGCCTGCTAATCTAAAGAATCTCTGAGTCTCTCTCTCTCTCTCTCTCTTTTTCTTACTATGTCAGGACAAAAAAAATTAATTCCAGGTGCATGGATTTAAAACACTAGGCTTTATAGAAGATGGGAGGAAAGGGGGAGAAATGAAAAATCTCTTCACATGACTCTATATAATTTTGCTGACCCACAAGGAGTCCATCATTATGACAGCTGGGCATGAGACAAATGGAGTGGTGAGTTAGCTAAGTATTTTCAAATTTGTTCTTTGCCATCCGTCAATCCCAACCAGGAGAGGGAGGGGGAAGACCATTTTAACCCATACCCATGATGAGCCCCACACCGGAACAGCAATGAAGAATGGCTTTGTTTCAAGAAACAGTTTGGTCTGGACAACTGAATCTCCAGAAGTCAAACTTTTATATACATCCTGGCACTGCGTAGGCCAACAGGTGATGCTTCCTCATGTTGGCCCATCCCTGATATACTCTGTCCATTCTTGAAGAAGGTCACAATGTTGCCCCAGAAGACTGCTCTGTATTGGAGAATATTAAGCTAGAGCCTCATTATCCTACCAATAACTGATGGACCCGCATTGTTTTTTTTTAAGGACATGTCTACTACTCAGATAAAATCTACAGAGGAACAAAATATGCATATTTTAAATTCTTAGGGATGATAGCGAAAACAAACCAGCTTGATAAATAGTGGTTTAAGTTTGACAGTTTTGAGCCAACCACAGTTAACTATAGCTTGTCACTGTTGCCACTCATAAAAAAATGGAGGTCAAGCCTTCTAATCAGTAGAGGAGACAAGAAGGGGATACTTGAACATGCAGGGAGACTAAGTTCATTCTTGATACAATAAATAGTGGCTTATCATGACATTCAAACAAAACCATTGTTTCATGTGAACAATGTACAGTGAAGCCCCAATCCCTTTTTGTACTAATCTGCGCAGCTACCAAGGCTCTACAAATTTTCTGTCAGTCATGCTGATTAGATGCAACTTCTTCACTGGAGTTTCATATGGACAACCATCATATTCCATATATGCATTCAATGATTGATTTTGCTTCAGTCTAATGATTCGTGTTATGGAGTGCACACGTAGCACCTGAGACTGCTGTAAAAGAATTACATGATTCAGTGAGTGATTCTTATGACGTTTCCTGGATCTTAAATTGAAAGAAATGAAACGTTCAGAGAAAAGATTCCTTACCCAGACTCATGGATCCTCCTGTACATATTCTGTTAAAATAAAGGAGAGAAAAAAAGGAAGAAAAAGCCAGATATTTCTTAAATTGTATAGTCATAGTTGCTCTGAGATTTTAAAGATCTGTGTAATACAGATAGGAATTTTTCAGATTAGTTTTGGAATTTCGGCCAACATGGAAATTCCTTAATAACTGAATTGGTGTGATGGAATGGAATTATGAAGGCCAGGCTCAGGGATATAAACATTTTCTTAGCT